TCCACACAAGACTTTGTATATGAGGCCACTGGTCAGATAATAAATTCTGCATAAACTGTCTATAATGTTAACAACCAGGTTGATGTCATAATTTCTTATTATAAAGTGATTTTAGTGTAAAACTCAGCAGGTAAGATTCATTCCTTCAAACAGTGGTAGCTCTTTGATTTTAATAATAATTGGAATTTACAGTGAATATATTTATTATCAGCTTAGTATTGTTTTTACATTTTGCCAGAACTTTAGCTTTTCTGTTGCTTAAGATTACAAAAAGAAAGATCTTCATAATTTCAGGATCAAGTCAGTTATTTACAAAATGACAGTTTGGAGAAAAAATACAAATAACATCTTGTTATTCTTAATTACTTTAATTCTTGTTCATGTTAAAGAGAAATAATGAAGTGAAGGATTTATGAAACATCACTGAACGGTTACTTCCTCACAATGAAACTAAATGTTTCACAGAAAAATCACCATTTTTCACAAACTGACAGAACATAATGTAACACAGACAAATAGTTTGGCTTCATCTCTTTAGAATAAATCACTTCTGATCATAAACCTGACGTCTTAATGTTGCATGCACTGTATGTACTTACTGGAATTTAATTTCATTTAGCTGCTGCCATAAAACAAACAAAACTTGGACAGAATATTTAGTATTTAGTATGGTGTGTTAATGTGGCAGCTGTCCTTTACAACAAATCACCCTTTATTTGAAACCAAAAACAAACATGTTTCTAATGAAGTTGCTAAGAAACTCACTTCATACTTTATTTTTAAGTCGGTGTTAATCTGTTTATGGAGGAAACAGGTGACACCATTGTTGTTTTCTGATTAGTGACAAAGAATCGTGTTTATTCTGCAGGTGAATCTGTTGGAAACAGAAGAAAAAGTTTGTTTTAAGTTATTCAGAATGGACCTCATGCAAGAACATGTTCGTATTCTTATCCTAAATTTCTCTTACTTTTGTTCATACAAAGGGTTCGTACGAACATGTGACGTCAGATTCAACAAACTCTTCCATCTTCAGGAAAAGTGTGTAAATGAGCTGCGTAAATTCACCTGTTCGTATCCAGCTGCTCGTGCACGCGAGAGGAGATTAGCATAATTACCACCCCAAAAACACCATATAAGGCTATGTTTCCTGCCTCAGATATCAAGGAAGTGTCCATTCATGAATGACATCGCAGTGTAAAGAAGAACTTTACGAGTTCAGAGATTGTAGTCCTGCTCTCAGAGATCGAGAAAAGAAAATCTGTCATTTTTAGCAGCGTCAGCTGTGGAATCAAAGGAGCTGCTGTTAATGTCGTGTCTCCTGTGGGTCGTTACATCACAGAAATAAAAATATAAATCATATTCATCTCTCTCTAGTCCTGCTACGGTTTTTCTTTGGTCAGTTTAAGTGTAAACAACCGTGTTACTGTGTTTACATTTATGCAGAAGAAGGGTGGT